ACCCAAATCTCTAAAAACGGGGCTGCAACGGAACTGATACAGATTTGAAAATAATCTGACGTCAGAAACGGGGAGCTCCGCCTATATGGGCAACTCTCCACCTATCAGGGGAATGTGGGGTTGCCGTGGCATGGTAACAGCATGGTAACAGCATGGTAACAGCATGGTAACAGCATGGTAACATGACGCTCGTGTCTCGCCCCCCTCCTTTGCAGGGGGGCGAGGTCAGCTGCAGCTCATTTGCCACAGAATCAGCCCTTGTGAAGAGAGGGCTGGAATAGATCAAATAGAGCGAAATGAGGCATGGCTAAAATGCATGATCTGTTTGGTATTTTGAAAAAGAAAATTCACAGACATGTTTTATATAGGTATGGCCCTACAATATATTATTAAAATATAGCATGATAGGTCCACTTTAACACAAAATGTTGTTATGGAAAAAACTGGCGAAACCAGAAACCGCAGTTTAGACTTCTAAAAGAAAATTGTAATCAGCCAAGAGGATTTCAATTGGTGCATCTTTAATATAAACATTTGTATCTATTGTCTGATCCATGCAAAAGCACATTCTGCCATTAATTCAACAAAAAAGGCATTCTGTTAGATCACTATTAAAGCAAATGAGCACATACGAAAACAAGCTGCACAAAGTGTTAACCTAAACCAACTGGCAACATACATTGTTTTTTGCGAGAGCTTTCATGTTCAACACTCTAAATGATGGACCGTCAAAATATAAACACAGAATGATCCACTACAATTAATAGTGATTAACCCCAATCATATGAACTGTTACACCGGTTAGCAACTGTATTATCTGTTTAGACTAGAACTTGTTTTTCCAAGTCTCTCAGTGGTCACATGATGTGGAAAATCATTGCTTATTTATGGATCAGAGTCCAAACAAGAAGTGAGTGGACTCAAAAAGCCTTACAATATTAACATATACAGTGTACGGCTGGACAAAGATCACAGAGTGAATTATTGAAACCACCATAAGTACAGTGCACCCTGAAAACACTCTGCCAGATGACATCTCCGGATGAATCATCAGCCGAGAAATGTCAGTTAGGCAATGAGAAACTGTCTCTGCCATTGTTTACATATTGACTGGCACTGTGCGGTCGGCCCTGATGAGAACAACACACACAGCGTCCGATGGCATGAAGTCACTTGGTGGAAAAAGAGCTGTCACTGGGAGCCTGGTAGTGGCTCTGGTGTGGCGTTGCAATCAATGAAGGTGGAGGGACTTAAACAGAAACAAAAACAAATCTATTATTGGTCCCAAAGCATGAAATCATGCATTAGCTAAGCTCTGAGGCAGTCCGTCCACCCTTTACTGCTCACCACCATTCCTGTGTGTATGTGAAGTGAACACGAGGTCTTTTAACACAGCTTTTCATAAAAGAGATCAGAGTGAAAGAGAATGAAGGATACAGAATGTTTCATCTGCCATCCATTTCTTATTCTAATGCAGCCATTAGGCTCTAAAAAGAGACTCCTCATCTATTCATTTTATGGGGAATTTGCAAAAAAAAGATGACACTGCAAGAGGGTTGGTCGGAGTGATTACAATTATTTGAATTAGCCCTTCAATCACCGCGTACGATTGTGTATGGAGTACACAGAAATGCACTCAAAATCGTGGCTTGAAACCCTCGCTGTATACTGTATGAAAAGATTGATTCACTCATTTCTAACTGAGTTTGTTCTGGGCGCGAGGAATTGATTGGTCAACATATTAAAAGCTTCATACAGTCCATACACACGATATGAAAAGGCTTTTAGAAAAATATCCAATAACTCAGGACAGCTGATTGCTTAAAGCTCATCGTATTCACAGCGTTTACAACAGGTGCAGTAAAGCCCCAACAAAAGGCTGTAAACAGTAAATGGTTAACGGGAGCGAGGGCACGTGTAGGTAAAGCTAAAAGAATATATATATATTTCATAAATAAGCTAATACAAGGGATATTGTGGTTGTTTTCATACAAAATCCCTTTATTTGAGCTAACCAATCACAATGCTGTCAATCTGCAACTGACTTTTTTCTATTTTAAGGAATGATATGGTTACAGAGCGCACACAAATTATATGAAATGCAGTAAAACTTATACAAAAAAATTCAAAAAGATTACAATGATAAATAGTGAAAGGGTGAAGAAAATGGTAAACATTCATTAAAAGGATATAATGAACAGATAATGGATACATCAATCATTCTAATGTTAATTATTACTCCTTAGACTGTATGTTACCCATTTTTACCGTCAAAGAAATTATCTTGATTTCCAATTTTCATATATTTAATTTAAAAGATATTTCCATTTACAGTTCATCAGGTTATCCCCTTATATTGAATTCCTTGGGTTAGGGTTAGGGTTGAGTAAGAATGTCGTTGTCTGGTGTTTGTCTTAGTAGTCAGAGTAGGGTTTTTATTTACAGAAATCCAAAAACGAGTTGACGATTCTCTTATAAATAGGAATATTTCCCAGAACCCGCTTATATCTTTACATGAACCAAATCTATGATGATGGTTTGCCTTCTGCTCACCACACTCTCTCTCAAGTTCTCTCGGTCTATTGACATTACTGCTGTTGTACAGAATTACGTTATTTCTCACGCTTTACTAGAGTTCCCGGAAGAAGTTTCAGTTCCAGTTCCAGAGTCTCTTTCTCTCTCCCACTCTCTCTTGTTCTCTCTGTCTTGGTCTTTTTTTAGACCGGCTGGTAGTGCCTAAGATAGATGTCTTGTAAGCCACAATAACATTAAACAGAATTTCCATCCCTTATATAAACGTGCGTTCCCATTCATAAGAACGCTGAGGAGGTGTCTGGCTCGTGAAGTCAGTCAGTCAGTGTTAACCCTTTAACTTAGGTTAATAAAATAGATACGCAGGATGTGTTTCTGCTCATCGCTGAAGTCTATCCTGTACCACGTCTAGTTTCTGCTTTTCTTCACTGCTGTAAACACTTATTTTTCACAGATCACGTTTTCGCAGCCTACTGTTATGTCACCTGACTGCCAGTGAGCATGCTGACTGTCTCATGTAACAAGGGAATGCTACTAGCAGTCTATTACACAAAAAGTGTCTTCTCTAACCATTCAAACTTCATTTAAGAGGAATTGACAACATGATTTGAGTATTCGTGCAGCTTTGATGGATTCAGTTGCATTTCATTGAAGTTGTGGGTTTTCATTTTTTCTATAAATGAATGGAACATTGCTACACTCACATAGTTTGCTGCTATTGGTGTACTAGTGAGAGTGAGTCTTGTAATTCATCAGAATAAGAATATTTGATTCTAAATAATTCGATTTATTGATTTGATTTAACCCTGATGGTCTTGAGTCGTTAAATGTGTCAATAGTTGCTTTTTTTTGTTAGTAATACAGTTCTAAAAGGGTCTGTGTGCGTGTGTGTGTGTGTGTGTGTGTGTGTGTGTGTGTGTGTGTGTGTGTGTGTGTGTGTGTGTGTGTGTGTGTGTGTGTGTGTGTGTGTGTGTGTGTGTATCCAAACATCAGGACTTTGGTGGAGTTTTACTAACACAAACTTCTCTACATGAAAAAGACCCTAACCCTATCTTCACAAGACTTCCCAATGACACATTACTTAAAGTAAAATCATATTGAAAGATCTTCCACTGACTTATCACCCAGACCAGAGTTATAATCAAAGTGCTTCTTTAAATCAGCTAAACAACAGAGACAAAGTGTGTATCTAGTCAGCACATGCAGAAAATGGTGAGGCACATTACCTGCTTCAACACATAATCCCATCCCAGGATAATCTATTGGCCGAGGTGATAAACAAAAAAATAACCATCCTCGGCTGAGTGGTTTGGGAATGGAGCCCCACCCTGTTTACAACACTGAGAACAAAAACAAACTCCCTCCAAGGAGCCCGGGCAAATGCAAGTCACACACTGCAAGCATTACAGGCAAACAACAACAACGAGTGAGGATCTACTGGGAGAGCACGGCTATCAAACAACAAGGTGTGTGTCTCTCTGAGAGGCGGGAGAAAGTGTGTGAGGCAGGAAGAGGGAGGGAGAGAGAGAAAGGGAGAGTTGGAACTAATGCAATACCAATATACATACAGTAAAAGAACAAGGAAAGCTAAGGTAGGTGAAGCAAGGGGGCAGAAAGCTTAGTTTATAATACAAAGATTATAGTACATAGCCCTCCTGTGAGTGATTTGAGAGGACATTGTTTTTGGTCAAAGAACTTCAATTTTATGGCGAAATAACTCATTTTTATGAGAACGTTAGAAAAAAATAAAGATTTTAAGTCTCACGGTAAGTAGAAACAGTGGCATGTGCACGGGATAATATAATAATACCAGAAAATTAAGAAAAATGAGGAATAAAATGCCATATAAGTACATATACATATATCACAATAGCATAACCTTAAATAATGATTTTTAAAAAGATTAACTAAAAACCTTCAAACGTCTGTTTTGGTCAGAGATCTAAAATCTCATGGAGGAATGAACTTTACAATAAATAAGTTACAAATATATATATTTAAAGTCTCAAGAGAAGAGATTAACAAAGTCATGAACAGGGGCTGAAATAACGATACCACAAAAAGAGAAAGGTCATAAAAGTACATATATAAATCCAAATACTAATGTACTATACACTTTTATAATCATTTCAAATCAAAGTAAGAAATATTAGATTAGTGATTAACATGAGTTTGTGTCATCTGTTAGTAAAGTAACCCTAAACTATGATTTGAGGGTGAGAGAAAGCGAGAGTTGGAACTAATTAAATATCAATATACATACAGTCAAAGTACAGACTTGCTAAAGCCTAGCTTATTAAAAAAAAGCTTTCTGGTGAGACATCGATTACATCGCATATGACACATTTGTTTCAAACGGAGAAACCAACTAACATTCCTAAACTTTCATTTGAGGAAGAGAAAAAGCGAGAATTGAAAGTGGAATTGAGCTGAAAACAAACTCAAAAAACACCCCCCCCCCCACACACCTCCAGAGTCTCAGGTCAACTGAATCATCAGGAGTCGGGGAAGATACCGTCACCACCTTCCACGAATAGCTCGCGAAAACCACATCAGTGTGACTTCACCGTGGCAGAGCCGGCAGCTTGAGAACACTCTCGCTCAATATCCAGGGGGACTCTGAATGAAGAGGTAATGAATCTCAGTTAACAAGGCCATTATCAGTGAAGGAACTACATCATCAGGAGGGACTCCAAATCCTCCAGGCCCTTACACACACTGGCCTTTTATTGTCGCTATTAACTGCTCAGGTATAAGAAAAAAGAAGATAAAAGTATCCTGCTTTTGATCTGGTGCTGTACATCACCACGGTAAACAACGAGGGGACACGGAGCCCAATTAGCCATCTCTGCTGTCAAGTATTTAAACAACGTGCCAAGATGATAGCAGTAACCTGCATACTTTCATCTGTGCTCCACACTCATCAGCATGCTAGCACCTCCTCTGCTGCACTGCATCCTGGGTAATTACCGCTTCCCAATTACCACCCAGCTTGGTAAATATATATCAAATAAACAAGCAACAAACCGTCAATTAGGAGCACCCTTTCATAATGGGGGGTCCGAAATGATGTTTTTTAGCACGTGCCGAAGAAGGCAGGAGCATTGCACTTCAAAGCGGAGTTGTAGCGGTACATCTCCCCATAACAGTTTGTAAAATACTAATGTTTCTGAGGCAATTATTTTACGTGTCTAATAGACGAGAGCAACACATCCGGGTGCTTCCCCCCTGCGTCAGGGCCCCACTCCTTTTTGGGTGAAAACATTCGCTCTCATTTGACTGGCGGTAAATACAGATTCTGAGTTTTTTTCGTCGTTCACAACCAAAAATGTTGAATATCATGCATTTTTGATCAACAAGATGATCATTGTCGATTTATGGTTAAATTAAAAGCTACGGAGGAATGATGTCTGTTCAGTCTGCCGGTAGACAAGTGTCTAACATTTAAAGTTGTTTTTCTAACACTCAAAATGGGATTTCCTTGGTTTATTAGTGTTTTATATTTTAATCAACAGTCACTACTTTGACTTTTAACATGACAAATGTTTACTTTGATGATTGACGCTACCTCATTAGCATCACCAGCAGTGACGTGCTCTAATCTATAGAGAGGCGAAGTCCCTCCCTTTCCGGGGGAGCTCCATGGGACCTTATTTGGGAAAAGGTATGTATTGAAGTCAATGGAGAGAGAAAGATTATCTTTTGATCCCGTTTGAATTGTGCCACGAATTATTTTGCAAGTCAAAATGTTTTAAATGTGTCGTAAAACTGTGAAGTAACACTTTTTTTGGTGTGAAACCGCTCAATGAACTACATCTCCCGTCTCGCACCACACACCAAGACGGCCGTCACGTTGGCACATTTCACTTCTTCCTTTCAGAATGAGGCGAAAAGTATTAAACGAGGTGAAAATCACTCCAAGTCTGGGCGCGTTGAGAGCCGTACACAAGGCGAGTTAGTCGGTTCCTAAGAGCCAGCATGCGGGACCGGCATTCTGGGATTTGTAGTCTTTCTAGTGCATATTTTTCATAGTCTTATATTTCAACAGTTTTACGACAAACTGTGACTTTTTTGACATGGAAATTATTTTTTAATATTGACAAACATCATATGTGTAATTCGTGGAACAATTCAAACGGGATCGAAAGATAATATTTCTCTCCCCATTGACTTCAATACATAATTTTTCAGAAATAAGGTTTCATGGGGCGGAAGTAGATGGGCGGGACTTCGCCTCTATAGTGGTAGGTGATGACGTGGTTTGGTAGGCCAAGCAGGAAGTTAGCATCACTAGGGGTGACGTGACAAAAAGCCATTTTTGATTTGATTTTGGAATATAGCAGGAAAATAAATGGTGGTAAACACACATACAGTATGTAGCAGACTTTAAGGTCTTAATGGTTCAAGTGGACTAGTAATGAACTTATGTTTGTTTTTCTGTGATGTTTTACCTTCACATTAACATAGTAAACGTTAGACAGTGTGTGTTACTATGGAAACAGAATGTTGAGTGTAACTGTATCCAACGGTTTATTTTGTTGCGTTTTCAGCTGTGTTAATAAACCTTACAAACGTTGTAAAGATAAACGTTTATGTTTATGATACTCTAATGTTTTATTGAGCAGGATAATCACTGTGCGATAGTACGCAAATATATAAGGTTACACGTCAAACAAACTACATCACGGTCACATGACTTCACCTCGCCACCGCTAAGCTAAATGTAGCTATTGTTCAGTATGATGATGTATAGTTATCTCACTGAGTCACTCTTTAGCAACCACCATTGTTGAGACACATGGAAGCTTCAGATATTAAATCAGTGGGGTAATTCATGTCGGAGAACATGAGAAGAAACTGTTCAGCTTGTGTTAACCACAGACCTTATTTCAGGCTTTTAAAAAGAAACAAGTCAATAAAAAATACATGCTAAATGCTAATTCATTTCCCAGTTGTAGGACTCATTCCTGCACCACTCTATTAGAGGTGTTTAAGTTGACAATGGGGCAAAATATACAACATGGAACAGCCCTGCACCACAAAGACGAGTTCAAAAAGAAACATGGCCTTTTTTCTTCACAGACGAGTGAAGAGGGGACAGTAACATTGTTGAATTCAAAGGCGAGGAGAACAGCTGCAGAAACAGTCTGTCAACAAAATTTGCATTACTGCTCTCTCCTCATCTCCATTACTCTCTCCTGTCTCTCCTCGAGCCCACGGAGCTGCCGGCTTAGATCTGAGTACTCTGATGGCTTATCACATAGCGAGCAGCAGGCTAAGCCGGAGTGATGCGCCCAAAAGACATGATCAAAGCGCACCAACTTTTCCACCCGGCAATGATGATGGAAGAGCAGGCCCTGCCATGTTGTGTTTCTTATTAGGGCTGCGACTGCCAACTGAAAACACAGCCAAGGAGTCAAGGATGAGGCCCTTAAAGATGTGCTACCGTAACCTTACTCTGCATTACGCTGCTGCTGCAGTGAACAGGGTTTAAGTGGTAGTATGTGACATATCTCCACATTAGTCACTTTCAGTTTTGCTGCTCTCTTATGTTGATTTAACAAGAGCTGCAGTCGTAAGAAGGCTTTGGCTATTTCCTGCTTTTATTTCATATCAAAAAGGGAATGTGTTATTTTGGACTAACAAAACAAGGCTTGGAGGAAATTAATGAATATTTTCTGACATTTTATTCACCAACAATAAAATGTCATAATCGCCATATAACTCGATTATGAAAACAATAGCTACCTTTAGCCTTTCATAGTATCTTAAGCTTTTAATTTGCAGCTTCAAGCATCCCCTTTTGGATAGGTCTTAATATTAGAGCACTTTGGTCTAAGTAAAGATTGTTACATTTCTCTCAGCAGTCTGTTACAAACAGATAGATAACATAATATATGGTCCCTCACAACTAAACCATAAATAAGCCACAACAACTGTACGAAAACCGAATGGAAAGTGATTTCTGGCAACAACAGCACTAAAAAAACGTTATAAAACACAACTTTGAAGTGATGCTTCTTCTAAACCAGGGGTGTCAAACTGAAGGCCCGGGGGCCAAATCCGGCCCGTGACTTCATTTTCTGTGGCCCCGCAAGGGCTTGCAAAGAATATTATATGTTTATTATACGGTTAGATGGTGATTTACAGAAGCCCGTTGCCCATAAACTACATGTCCCACAATGCATCTCATTTTAGACTTTTTTTCTTCTAAATATGCCTTTTTTCTCAGAATTTGACTTTTTTTCTTAGAATGTTACTTTTTTTTCAAAATGTTACTTTTTTTTTTTTTAAATGTGACTTGAGAGAAGAGACTTGCAATTATTTGCCCCAGACTTCTTCTTTCAGACGTAGTTAATTATTAAGTTATTACCCTATCTGATGATAATCCAATGCAGAGGCAATAATGTAATATAATACATTATTTTATATATATATTTATATATGTCTTTTTTTATATAGTCTTAAAGTTACAACCGGCCCATTGAGTGCAGCCATAATGCTGATGTGGCCCACGATTAAATTGAGTTTGACACCCCTGTTCTAAACTCTCACAAGTCATTGCGTCTATATTAAACATCCCATTAAGGTCACGTTTTAAAAATTGCTCAGGAATAGCCTAATTCCAACGTAAACTGACATTTGCATTATTTTCTCTTCCCCCGACAACATTTCTTATAGAAAACTGTAATGACGGACAAACATTTTTTATTGTTACTATTATTAGGATCTTCAATACTTCATCTGTGTACACTTTTGGGCCAAAAAGACAGGGACATCTTTTGTAAATGAGGATTTGTAGTTGTTTGAACTTTTGTAAATACTGTGAAGGTTTACACAGAAAGGAGGAATCACTGACACATCGTCTCCCCTGGCAAAATAAACCAATCCACTTTAGTAATAACAGCCACCTCTCAATGTAAACTTTCATCAAATTCTCTTAAATGTAAAAGCACATCATCCATCAGGTCCATGGAACCACATCATAAACACACACACTTACAAACATAGAGAGCGGACAGCTGATAGAAACAGGTGCTCAGGTTTCGCCTGGTAGCTGAGCGCAGTTTGGAGCATATGGCTGAGCCCTGGATGTCTGCAGGAAATGTTTGTATCTTACCTGTTTCAGTCCCGAAACAGACATGTGTTGTGTGCTATTAAAGAAGATCTGGTGTTATGGTATTGCTTTCTAGAAGGCTGTAGTACTTACTCAATATGGGAACAGGGAATGGTGTGCATTTGGTAGCATAGGGTTAAAGAAAGTAACAAAAGGGTGAGGGGTGGTGAAAGAAAGTTGAATGGGTTTCACCACACCACACTGCAAAGCAAACTCCCTTAATTATTCATCCATCTGTTCCAATACTTCAAAATAACAACACTTCTAAAACAAACTTAAACCAATGGATGCAACCAAATATGCAGGATACTTCTATTAGGCCTGACGAGATAATTAAGTTATCAAATTATGGTATATGATAATTATCCTTTTACGATACGTACTTATCGTGCATATGGTCACGATCATTTATTCAATACTGATTTATTCTACGATGTATGGAAATGACCATGATAACTTTTACGTTACGATTTATTGTACGATACATGGACCTGACGTGGATCATTTTTACGTTAGCAACATATCTTACCATATTGGAAATGACTTTGATATTTTTAACGATATTGACTTATCGTAGAATATATGGACCGCTTTCATTTTAACATGAACAACTTAGCCCTCAATATATGGACATGACCATGATAACTTTCACGTTATGATTTATCGTACGATATATGGACATGGATCATTTTTACGTTAACAACATATCTTACCATGTATGAAATTACTTCACAAAACTTTACGTTATTGACTTAACGTTCAATATATGGACAATAAATGTATAGTTTTTACGTTAACGATCGTAAAATAATATGAAATTAGATCATTTTGACGTTATTGACTTATCGTACGTAATGGACATGACGTTAAACATTTTTGAATAGTTATTATAATTCTATAAATGCCATAACATTTTCTTAAATTGACAATATGTTTCCAGTCCAACAGCAGGTATCCTCACAAACCAAACTTAGATATTTTCAATCAATCAATCTGTTTGCCATTGATGATGTACTGTATTCCTGATACACAACACCAGCAGTCAACACTTTTTTACAAACTAATTGTAGTTGCATGAGCAAGGAGGACCTTTGTTGTCAGCATCCGTCCCTTCACTACGAACAGATGACTCTAGAAGATAGTTATTAATGGCTGCATGGGTTAATGGCCGTCCTGAGCATTTGACTGTCTCCATAGAGACTGAGGAGCTCACCTGTCCACTCTCTGACCAGAAGCCAAGCCGGTGAGCGAGACACACGCACCTTGACCCTGGAAATAATGTTCTACTTTCCTTTTGTTATCACTTCCATTCACTTAATGCAGCTCTAATCAGTGTGCTGCAATCATATTCATATTGCGAGTAATCTTCCCCTTTGTCTGTGTGAATCAAACATGCAAAACTCACATGACAAATTCATTTACCAGAAAAATCCCTTTTATTCATCTGTCACTTGCCGTCTCGCTTTGTGCAAAAAGTGTCTCAAGCTGAACTGGTTTGAGGGCGTCTTGTATGCGAAATCAAATGAGGGGTGAAGCCGGAAAAATCAAATCTTAACAAGAAACAGTAAGAAGCAAAAATGCAGAACCTTATTCCACACTGGACCGAAAATAACTCTCCTTATCACTCAGCTGCAAGCGAGGAGTCAGTTTACTGCACAGGGTATTTCAATGTGTGTTCACAAATTCTGAGCCGTCAGATGAAAGAGGGCCGCTCCACTCAGGGATGGGAGTCCTCGCGCTGAATGCATGAGCGACTGATTACTTTCTTACCAGTTGAACCTCGGCTCTCTACGAAAGAAGAGCCTGAAGTGGCAAAACTAGAAACAAGGGCTTTCCAAATAATACAAAATCCCAGATTGGTGCTTCAAGGATCTTTCATTGTTACGATGCATACAGCTGCTCTTCCTCACATTTCAAGCATTTCTTTTTGTTGTTGTACTTGCCCCCCTGCCAACTCAATGTGTTCAGTCGTAGTAAGGAGCAGAGAAAAGTAGACGCAAACACAGGGGAGAGGGGACTGTTTTTCCCAGCAGAATGTCAGCGTGTAGCGGCTGTGTCTAACAACAGGCCGAGAAAAAAGTTGCAAAGAAAGTTCATCTTGTGTTTTAAAACCTGGGTCAGCATTTGCGAAGGTCCATTTCTGCATAAGTGAGCACACAAACCGGCGCCTGTTCAAATAGTGTGCAGATCTCTCTCAGGCAGCTCATGACAACAGCCCAGCAGCAGCACTGTTTGATCTCCAATGTTTTCCTTAATCTGGGTTGTCAAGGTTCGCTTGTTGGAGGCTGTTTACTTTACTTCTCCTACAAAAAAGTGGGTTTTTTTCCCCCTCAGACAATGACTAATCCAAAGACCAAGAAGGAGGGGAGCCCTGCCAGCAATAGTTGTTAAAGCTGCAGTTTCCCTTTTGTAAAACAATTCACATGGTTCTAGTCCAGCTGCAGACTTAACTGTAAAAAGAAATATGAGGGTAATTCTTGAGTGTGTAACGTTTACTCTAAATGGAAAATAATCTGCTTTAAAAAACATTTTTCAGTCCAATTCTGTCTTTACAAACTAACAAATCCACATGGATTAAATAGACAAGACTTTTGTTTATATTCTGTACATTTAAAAGCAGCAGAGAAAAATTAATTATATTTCTAATTGTCTGAAATACACCGGTTTAGAAAATTGATCAAAAAGAAATTAGATATAAATATTTTATATATATGTTTATGTGTTTTTTTAATGCATTTCTACAGACTAATTATATTTCTAAGTACATTCCTTTTAGACAATAAATTAGGATGACATAACGTTCATTTTACAAACACACTATATCAATAACAGATAATTGTTAATTTGACAAAAAAGTTACTATTTTTCAGAAGTGATAATAAAGCCTATTTACAGTTAATAAAAACGATTAACTTTAACCCACACTGGGACTGACTTGGCTGGCTAATAAACAGTTTACTTTTATAGCAGTACAGTTGAATAAAGCGTGTTAATTACTTAATGTTGAGTTGAAGTTGCCACAGTTATAATGTATTATTTAAATCCTTTGTATTAGTCTGATGACAAGTTGACTGTAAGTATCCGCTATTAAAGTAGCACTGCACACACACACTGAAACACCAGCCTGTCACACCACTGAAGCCAAACAGCGAAATAAACTTAGTCTGTTAGATAAAACTATATAACAGATATTAAAACTATTGTCTCGGGCAGTAGTAAAGCTTCCTCCGGTCTCTCGCAGTTTGGAGGACAGCTAACACGTGGGGGGAAAGCTCCCTCTTTGGTGTAACTCCAAAGAAATCACGGCACTCAAACTTCCCTTTCCCCCGTTCAAACTTAACAACTTTTAACAGGTAGCGTTGTAATTATCACTTTTTTAACAAACTAGGGCTATGAAGGTGCATTTCCCTCGGGGGGTGGGATTGCATAGCCTCAACTAAGTTGCAACTTTCCAAAAAAAGTATAGGACACAACTCTCCAAAAACTACACTAAACAGCACTACCAGGCAGCCCACATGCTATTAATACAGGTGTTTCTTTATGACTTTATTGTAACAAATGTAGCAAAAAGCGAAACTCCGTGTGTGTGCGTTTGCATCAGCAGGTAGCTAAAGACACGATACAGCAAATGTTAACAATAGGATAATAGTGAAACTTACCCGAAAGGCTTTTTTTTTTACAGCAGCTAACAGGCAGGGTACCGTTTCGCCAGTATGAGATAACGCGTGCAACAAATCAAACCGTAAACACCAACAATATCACTCCGCCCGCCTTTGGTCTGTTGGTGGCTGAGGTGGTGGTGCGGCGGAGGTGAGGAGGGAGGGGGGGACTAACTAACTCACTAACTTAACTACAAGGAGAAAAGAGATATCATCTTACCGAGGGCGTCGAAGAAGATCAACAAAATGTGGAGTTTCACACTCGCCGACTCGTTTCCCTCTGCCTCGTGCACAGAAAAGGCACTAGCTCCTCTGTTTCTTAATGTTCATATTAGATTTTTTTTAACACGCCGAGCAAAGAAGGAGGAAAAAAAAGAAAAGAAGCAAGCATCGCGGATTTGGATGTTGTTGTTTTGATGTTCCAAGTCCGTGACGTCATATCCACCTGCTGTAAACAACGATCATTGCATCGCGGATCCTTCATAAGAAACATCACACAAGTACAATTCAGTAGCACTTAGTAGGTTCCTTTCTATGGGGAAATGTAATGATATGCATTAGTTTTAGCTCAAAGTGTGACAGGAGAGAGGGGGCTGTCAGAAAAGCTAAAATGTCTAAAGCTGACTAATTACAACTGAGGCAGAATGAACTTATTATTATTTCCAAAAAATCTTCTTTTTTATATATCTGAGGATCATCATAACTGTTCCTACGCCTCACTGCAGAAACATGACATTATTTGAGTTGTTTAAATCTCAAATGTGAGAAGTTTTAAACTATAATGGTTTTTAAAATGACAGTGTATATAACTAGAGGGCAGTTTTATGATGTTGTCATTTGGCATGTGGGCCAATTCTTCATAATATGTTCAAGGTGGCATGCATCTTTTGCAACAAAGTCATTCAGAATCACTGCTTGACATTTTTGTTGTGGTTGAAAAGTTGTGTGCACTCCTAAATAGTCTTTCCTCAGCATGTCTGTCACAAGATGTGCAGAAACACATTATGACAGTAATTAAAAACCTCTGTCACTTGGCCCTGAAGAGGAGAATTACCACGGGCCACTTCAACAGTCCAGTTAACAACTCATTGTAAAGCAACATTAATTTAACCTCAAGAGAAAATATTTCAAGTCCTTTTTTGTCCTTGGTCAAGGTCTTGAGGAGCACAGCTCATTTCGCTTTAAACGAGATTCCATGTATCATGGCTGCATCTGTAGTGCTGCTGCTGATCTCTCTCATAGAGTCTGTTTGTGGGTAGAGAGCGCCACCCTCTGGCCGTGCACACAGGAACATAAATAGTTCCAAATAATGTGTTTTATACACATGTTACATACTTGTGTTTGTGTAGTACAATGTGCACTATAGTCTATAGTGTATATATGTTTTCAATTTTATTGTATTATTGCACATTTTTACTCAAATACATAATTTGTATTTTATTGTATTTGTATCTTCTTATTGCAAATGTTTATTTAACCTATTTGAATATGTATATATCATTTATATTTTATTGTATTATGTTCTTATTCTTTAAATGTATATAAATATTTTTATTTACTTTTATTTGCATTTTCTAATTTGAGATGTTTCTATTGTATGTTTGTTTTGTTTCTACAATTTTTGTTTGTTGTTTCAATATTTTCACATTATGTGCAATTTTAACATGTTGCTGTGACAACAAGAACATCCCCAATTGAGATCAATAAAGTACATTCTATCTTATTTGTATGTATTTCTTTGTATTTCTTTTTAAATTCTGAAATGTAGTAACTGTCCTGAAACCTAATTTCCCTCGAGGACAAATAGAGAATTAATTATTGGCCTACACATCTCAGCTGAGACCTGTTATTATATTCATTTAATTCATTTATTTACATGTAGAACAGTTTAAAATACAAGCTGATAAGCTCTCTGAAGCTTTAGGGGCCCGAACACTTAATAAAGGTAAGTTAGGTAAGAGTGGAGAAACCAGCTCGAGTGCGCTAGAATTTGAAAATACACAACCGGAAAAAATCTGCCTCTTCCTTCAGATTTCCTCACAGAGCCCCTCCTCCAACACACACGGACGCGCACATGACCAATGAGGGCACGAGATAAATTTGTGCCCCGATGGAAGGCTGACAGGCAGGTAGGCCATCCAGTTACTTTAGCCGGGCCGGCTCAGATGATTGGTCGTGCTTTTTACAGCGCCACGGCTTCCACAGATGAAATGTTTTAATGTATTTATTGTCAAAGCATTTAATGTATTCATTGTATCGGGATGTTAAGAGCATTCCATGGAAAATAACAAGTGTTTCTGAAGTGAATTACCTACCTTTAACAGAGCGTTTTTGCAAAATATGTTCCAACACATCTAGAATTGGAGAAGGTTCATGTACAGAAACATTCACAAGCTAAAAACACCAAATACCCCAAACTTATAAAACCCTAGCATTAAAAGGTCAGCAAACATTAATGTGTCAGTCTTAACATAAAACAGATAAGATAATAAACACTGACACAGGACAAGTGAACATAATTGCACAGTTTTAATACATTTCAGAGTAGAATAACACGTGTGTTTAAAGCTATTTAGATTCAAATTTTAAAAAAGAATGCTCTGAAACTTTTTTTAGCCTCCTTTGGACCAATATGAGGAATCGTTTCAGAGTGGGCAAGTTTCAGAGTAACAATCAGAGGGCTCGTTCCAACCGGCGAATGACATGGCTCGTTTCACCCAGCCAAAGAGGGCTCTTTTTAACCAATGGGCAATCTGAGGGGTCTTTCCTTTGGGCCAATGAGAGGGCTCATTTCACCCTTTGTGCCAATCAGAAGACTTATCAGAGGGCTTGTTTCAACCAAGCCCTGTTTCAATCAGTCTAAAAGAGGTCTTTCAACCGGCCAATCAGAATGCTTGTTTCACCATTTGGAGCAATCAGAAGACTTATCAGAGGGCTTGTTTCAACCAGTCTAAAAGAGGTCTTTCAACCGGCCAATCAGAATGCTTGTTTCACCATTTGGAACAATCAAAAGACTTATCAGAGGGCTTGTTTCAACCAGTCTAAAAGAGGTCTTTCAACCGGCCAATCAGAATGCTTGTTTCACCATTTGGAACAATCAAAAGACTTATCAGAGGGCTTGTTTCAACCAGTCTAAAAGAGGTCTTTCAACTGGCCAATCAGAATGCTTGCTTCGCCATTTGGAACAATCAGACTGCTCTATTATTTAGGTCAATGAAATGTCTAATTTCAGAGGGCCAATCAGAGGGCTCATTTTAGAGGGCTAAACAGAGCTCCTCTCAACCTTCGGGCCAATCAGAGGGCTCCTTTTACCCTTCGGGCTCATCAAAGATCTCTATCCTTTGAGTGGCAGGTCTTTACATAATGTGTCCATTTGTTGAAACTCATGTTGTTTTATTGTGTTCTTCTCCGCAGTGAATTCATGTTGACATGCTTCTTGAAATGTAATCTGATGGTATAACATCACTCCCATTATACTGCTAACAGGATTTGCAGTTTTGCTGTGATTTGTATACTGAGCCCGTCTTTATAGGATTACTGCAGTTTTCAAAAGGTTGTAAACATGATTGTCTGGTGTAATTAATGAGAAAAACTCTCACACATGATCTTTGTAATTCTTCAGTGTCTCGATCTGCATGTCAATACTAGATCCACGAGCCCAGCAGCCAGTGTGTCTGCCTCTGAATTTATTATCCTGTTTGTCGGTGTGTTGTGTGGATTAAAGCCCTGACTGGATGGAGTGTAGTTACAAATTAATTGAGGATCACTATCAGTTACGTAACAGGCTCTCCACACACACGCGTGCACACAACAAAGTAATTAGCTTTCTGTTAATTAGGTAATTAAGCATCTGAATAGGAGCTCCTCTTGATTTCCAAAGGGGGAAGGATGGCTTTCACTCGGTGTTTTTCCCCTGCTGCTGGGGGCGAAACATTCAGACTGTAATGAAAGGGAGAAGCTGTGCACATAATGACCAATAAAGCATGTGAGTGAAAGGAGGACAGACTTAAAGGACAGGACACTTTGTTTCTGCAGTTGTACGTGTTGGTGTGGAATGCCTTTTTTTAATTTGTCAAATAAACCACAAAACATCAATAAAGCAATATCCAGAAAACCATGAAATAAAAAAATTGCAGTTACTATTATTATATAGGAAATATTATTGTATAGCAACAGAAACATGTTTTTAAAGTGCATTACTTTTCAATAAATCATCTCTAATTGTTAATATCATTATAAATAACCTTTCAATAAGAACATGAAAATATACTCAGTACAGTATATTATATATATTGCCTGAATTGAAGTGGAAAAGTTGTGCAGTTGCAAAAGTAAATACCAATACAGGTCACACACTTATTTAGTTTTTCTATTTGCACATTTATTATGTGGGTGATAAATTATGACAATAGATTTTAAGTATAATTGTTCTGGTTTGACAGCATCATGATAGTATAACTGTCTTTATAAAACACATTCCCAAGAATCAAGTGTCCTTGCAAATGAAGCTTAACTTGTAACGTAGGATTTGCGTTTGAAATGCAGCACAAAGGTCAGGTGTCGGTGTAGATCACAGAGCAAGAGGAGCGTTTCTCTAAAGATCAAGAGGATTTTCTGCTGCGGGGATCGGCTGCTCTTTCCCCTTCAGACATTACAGAAATGTTTCTGAACGGCCGGCCTGTGGACGCTTATGATGTCTGACCGTGGATTTGGTTCCATGATAAGTGTGCTTCTGGGTCTGATAAAGTGCAGCTCGGTGTGGGCACGGTGAGCTCAGAGAGGAGGTGGATGCCTTTTATAATCACAGGGGAGAGAGACACTTTAATGTCTCATCATCTCATCACTGAAGACACATTGCATATTTCTGACATTTTTGTAACACGTTTAACCCTCCTATTGTCTTCGTCCGTCCCCCCGTCCCCCCCCCCCCCCCCCTTACTTTGGTGAGGTCCTGTTTTAACTGCTATTACATTAACACAAAAACCATTAATCATCACCAAATTTCATTCAACACCCTTTCAAACTGTAAATATTGTGTCAGACTACTGGTGTACATGAGAAACTGCAGTAAATATACAAAGAACAGACACTGAACATGTAATGCGTGTGCCAGGTGTGATCCATGTGGGGGGATGGGCACATAAGAGCGGGAAATGTGTCAAATTGTTCTGTTTGTGTGTGAGTGACAGGTGTGATTCACATGGGGGGATTGGGCACATAAGGGGGGGGGGGGGACACATTTAGAGTATGTGTGTGTTTGTTTTATCTGATCCGGATGGTTACTAATTCCTTTTCTTTATGGCGGTCATTTTTGACTGGGAACACCATGAGTGTTACAAAGTTGACTAAATCATCCAAAATGCAATGAAAGTGGTGATCAGCAATTGTATATGTTCAAATGTCTACTGTGAAGGATATC